CATTCCTCGTCGTTCTCCGCCTGTGTCTGTTCTCCCCTCACCTCCTGAGTCGTCTCTCACCGTCTCCTCTCACCCTATCACTGACTAATACCGTGCTGCTCGCCCTGTTGTCTCCCGTGTTCTCGCCACTCTTGTCACCGACCCTCGTGCCTCTCCTTCGTCTGTCTCGGCTCTTACTGCCGCTGTCGCTGACTTTGCTTCCACCCGCCGCCTTGACTACGCCACGCGTATGGTGGCTGCTCCACCTCCCTGTCCTCTATCTGTCGGGGGTGAGTCTGCCCTTGGCTGTGACGTCCTAGAGGACATGCAGTTTGAGCTGGAGTTATTGGCAGCCGCTTCCCGCTCTCTCTGTGCCATGCTCCTTTCCCTTGAGGGAGACCCCGACGCCCTTGGCATACCGACTCCTCGCACGTACCGTGAGGAAGTGTCAAGGGAGTGGACCTCTATGTGGAAAGCGGCTATGGACTCAGGGTTAGCGTCTTGGAGATCCACAGGCACCTACGTCGACGCAGTTCCCCCTCCCAGGGCGAACGTTGTCGATGGCATGTGGCTCTTCAAGGCCGACCCCGAAGATGACTACTCTTCAGGTGTTACTGCACGTAGCAGCACAACGAGACTACGAGCTGCACTCCCTCGACTTCTCCACTGCATTTCTCCAGGGCCGCCTACACGAGGAGATTTGGTTGCGGCGTCCTCCTGGCTTCACTAACAACTTCCCATCTAAGACCCAGTGGAGCCTGAGGTGACCAGACTACGGTCTCCGCCAGTCGCCCCGTGAGTGGCACGACACTCTTCGCTCCACGCTTCGTGACCTTGGGTTTCGTCCTTCCTCTGCCAACCCGTCGCTGTTTGTTTGCGCTGGTTCCGCTCCTTTCTTTATACTTGTGTACGTCGACGACTTGGTCTTTGCTACAACAGATAGGGCAGCTCTGGCTGAGGTGAAGTCCAAAATGCAGAAGAGACAAGTTCACTGGCCTTGGTGAACTGCAGCGCTACCTTGGCTTGCAGATCACCAGGGACAGAGCCGCTCGCACCATCACACTGACTCATTCACACATGGTGCAGCAGGTCCTTCGGCGGTTTGTGTTTCAGTTCTCCACCACACAACCCACTCCTCTTGCCATTGACTACCGACTCACTGGCCCCTTTCCCGACGAGCCCTTTGAGTCCAGTGGTCCCTACGTAGAGCTTGTGGGCTGCCTCATGTACTTGATGACTTGTACTCGGCCGGACCTCGCCTTCCCCCTCAGCGTCCTCTCTCGCTTTGTTGCGACTGGGAGACGCCGTCCTGTTCACTGGACAGCTGCTGTGAGGGTGGCGAAGTACCTGGCATCTACATTAGGCATGGGGCTTGTGCTTCGAGGGACACAGCCAGTTGATTTGACCAGTCACTGCGACTCTTCCTACGCTGACGACGTGGAGAATCAACGTTCGACTCAGGGTTACTGCTTCAGTCTTGGTGCTGGTGCTGTGTCGTGGAGGTCTACACGGTCGTCGTCCGTGGCTTCGTCCAGTGCAGAGGCAGAGATCTACACTGGTGCCATGGCGGCACAGGAACTTCGCTGGTTGGCCTTCTTGCTCACCGACCTTGGTGAGCGGCCTCGCTCTGCACCGAACTTGTACGTTGACAACAAGGCCATGATCCTCCTGTGTCGAGAGCCTCGACTGGAGAGCAGTGTGTAGCATATTGACGTGTGGTACTTCCTCCTGCGAGAGCTACAGCGACGCGGCTAGGCACGCTTGGACTTTGTGGCCTCAGAGGCCAACACTGCGGACGTCTTCACGAAGGCCTTGGCGCCTGGTGACCACCACAGGTTCTGTGTATAGCTAGGGCTTGTTGAGGTAGGCCCTCGGTTGCTGTAGTGTTGCTCTTGTTGCATGTTCTGCTTGTCGTTGCCTTTATATATATTGTTCTCTCTTGAAGTAGCCTTGTGGCCACTTGTTTGTGATCGGAATTTGTGTGGTGTCCTTGAGATCCACCCTGAGATTGCTTTGCTTCTTGTCTTGACTGGACTTGTGAACGTTTGTTCACCCGACTTGCTTTGATCCCCCTCACTTAGCCTATAGGGGTGTGTTAAATGTTGCATATTGTTATAATAGGCTGTAGTGAGTAGCACTGTAGAGAGTACAACACTTTCTAGGTTTGCTATTTGTATCACTCACTTTCCTATTTCATTCATTCATTCATTCATTTGCATGCCATTTAAAATATGTATATATTTCGTTCCGATGTCTTTAAGGTGTTCTCTCACTGTTAGAAACTTTGAATCCAGGAACTCTCTCCGGTTTAAAAAATACAGCACACTTTGGTAGTTAAAATTGTGTGAATTTGGCTTGTGTTAGAATTATAAAGAGCAAGGTAGTTTTCGAGCACGGCGATACTGGATCAAACAAACAATTGTGTTCAGCAAATATCAGCGCGCGTCACCTAACTGAGTTGAAGCAAACAAGCATGACTTGGAGCGTCAGGATTCGTCGAATATGTTTGGCACAAGCGGGAAAAAATATGAAAACATGTTCGTTTCGGGTAGCGATTTCTTCTAGTTTCCATTCGCGTGAACATTTCCAGTCTTCAAGTTACCAAATGCGTGAAACGAGTTACCAAATGCGTGACACGAGTTACAAAACGCGCGAAAACTAATGTATAAGTTACCGTACGCATTATTGAGCCTAATGAGTGTTACTGTAAGGAAAATTCCTTTTCCTTACTTCGCGCCCCTGCTTACCGCGTACAAGACCATTCCCGCCATCGGCACCCAACAGTGAAACGTTACCCGCTCGCGACACTCGCCTCGACTACGACTCCCGCCACTGTTCACGACGCGGCCCAACCTCACGGTTCGGTTGGTAACCCACGCTCTGGACCTCCGCCTCGACATTTCCCAACCTCGGCGCTAGGCCCGAAGCGCACCCCATTTTCTCGCGTTACCATTACCACTCTAGTTCGCTATATATTCTTCGCTCATGCCTTCGCTCATTGTATTATTTTGCCTCGATAGTGCAATTCTCACTCGCTCGCTCAATTGCACTCGTAACACTTGGTATTCAGAGCCTACAATCTCCTCTCGTACCGCACCCACACCTTCGCTTCCCCACTATCTCAATTTTGGAGGGGGTAGACGTCTCTAAGCGAACAAGCACCGCCGCTTGTAGTGCTCTCTCGTAAGCACGCATGGCCACGACAGAGGCTCTCGCTGAGCTTGTCCGACACGCCCGCCATGGCCGAATTCAATTTCGCGACGCTGACGCAGGAACATCTCGACCGCCTCGTGAGTGTCAACAGAAAGAACGAGAATGTGTGAACTAGCAGCATGCAGGAGTACAAGTAGAAAACCCTAATTTGGGTTGTACCCCATATGGGCTACCCCACTACAGCCTACACAACATGCAGCATATAAGTTTGACACACCCCCATAGGCAAAGTGGGGGAGAACAAGAGGTCACAAGACCATTCAAGAAAAGAAAAGCAAGCTCAGGGTGGATCATGAAGTCACCACACACTCTGAGCACAAGCAAATGGCCACAAGGCCAGTTCACATGCAGAGTTATATAAAGCAGAACAAGTAGTACAGTGATCAGAACCTAGCAAGTGCAAGCATGCATGTATAAGTATATAGATCACATACAAGCAATGTCAAGAAGTGATAAGTGAGGCCAAGTAGGTACAAGGCCTAGAACAGTATAGAAACGCTGATGATCACAAGGCTGAAGTGCCCTGGTGAATATATCAGCAGTGTTGGCCCGAGAGGCCACGTGAGCAAGACGAAGCTGACCACGCTGCTGCAACTCTCGAGGAAGGAAGTAACGCAGAGCGATGTGCTTCGCCACTTTGCCTATGGGGGTGTGCGGGTAGACCGCCAAGGAACAGAGCCGGAGCCAAGGCAGAAGGTGTAACCCTGTGACGACCGCTGCGTAGCCAAGTCGTCAACCCAAGAAGCGTCTGCGTGACCAGTGAGGACAACTCAGAGCCCGTCCTCCAAGCACAAGCCACATGCCCGACGTACTGCACAAGTAGCGCATCACCCTCTTAGCGGCCTCCGAGTGCTCTGGTTGGTGTCTCCCGGGCGCAACGTAGCGAGCCAAGATGCTAAGAGGGTAAGCAAGGTCAGGTCGAGTGCAGGTCATCAGGTACATGAGGCAGCCCACAAGCTCTGGATACGGGCCACTCGGCTCTACGGACTCATCTGAAGGTAGAGCTGAGAGCGAGTGACCGGTAGGCAAAGCAGTGGACTGTGGTGAGGAGTACGTGAAGCGGAAGCGCTGACGGACCTGCTGCACCATGTGTGACTGAGTCAAGGTAATGGTGCGCCGTGCTCTGTCCCGGGTGATCTGCAAGCCAAGATAGCTACGCAGCTCACCTAGGTCTGTGCACGTGTGTCTCTTCAGCAGCTCCGACTTCACGTGTGCGAGTCCCTCAGTGTCAGCAGTGGCAAAGACCAAGTCGTCGACATACACGAGGATGTAGAACGGCGGCAGCGAATTGTCGGTGCGCAGAAACAGCGACGGGTCAGCAGTCGACGGGGCAAACCCAAGCCCTGCAAGAGTCGTCCTCACTGTGTCGTGCCACTCACGTGGCGCCTGGCGGAGACCGTAGACTGGCCGTCGGAGGCTCCACTGGGTACCAGGAGGGAACGACCCAGTGAAGCCAGGTGGGCGGCGCAGCCAGATCTCCTCATGCAGGTTGCCCTGTAAGAAAGCTGTGCTGAAGTCAAGAGAGTGAAGCTCGTAGTCACGCTGAGCGGCGACGTGCAACAGCACCCGAAAAGTGGTTATCTTTGGGGTAGGGGAGAAGGTCTGGAAGAAGTCAACTCCCTATCGCTGACTGAAGTCTCGCTGACTGCAGCAGCACCCGAAGAGTGGTCATCTTTGGGGTAGGGGAGAAGGTCTGGAAGAAGTCAACTCCATGTCGCTGACTGAAGCCTCGTGCAACGTAACACGCCTTGAAGACAGGCGGAGAACCCGGTGGCCGCTTCACCCTGAAAATCCACATGCCACTGACGATGTTCGCCCCAGGTGGGGGAACCTCGTCGACGTAAGTGCCTGTGGACTTCCAGGATGCCATCTCTGCGTCCATGGCTGACTGCCACTGAGAGGAGTAGGGACCCTCAATCGCCTCTGCGTAAGAGCGCGGGGTCGGGATGTCTGGTGCATCCGGGTCTCCCTCAGGTGCAATCAGCATGGACACGAGATGAGGTACAGCAGCTGCAAAACACTCAAAGTCCTCCTGCCTGTCCTCAAGGACGTCCGTGCCAAGAGCACACTCACCCCCAACGGACGGAGGACAGACAGACTCAGACTCAGCAACAAGACTAGCGGCGTAGTCTAGACGACAGGCGACAGCAAAGTCAACAAGCTCAGCAATTAGGGCAGACGCAGCAGTGGACTCAAACGAAGGGTCAGTGTTAACAGTGGCCAGAAGACGTGTTACAGTAGGACTAGCAGCACGAAGTAAGTCAGACTCAGGGTCCCGTCCGTCAGCAAGAGAGGACGCAGGAGGAGACGGCAGAGGGACACGTAGTGGAACAGAGGAAGGACGAAGTGCCATCTGGTGCGTGCCGGGGACAGGAGGAGGACGCTCACGCGAAACACGACGACCAGTGCGAACAGCGCGAACAGGCGAGGCACGACGAGACGCAGGCTCACGACGCTCTGTAAAACCTCCGGGCTGCTCAGTGTAAGGAGAAGGAGCCGGCAGTGGGGAAGCTGGCTGTAACTGCGGCTAGGACTGGTCAGGCGGTGGACACAGTAAGGGAGGAGTAAGGCCTGTAGAAGGCAGGAGACCAAGAACCTGCTGAAGCAGTGGAACGAAGTACAGTCACGGCCGCACAGCGCCTCCAGAACCAGCTCTGACAACACCAGCACCCCCAGGGCCAGCACCTCCAGCTCCAGGGTCTCCAGCTCCAAAGCCTGCAGCACCACCAGCTCCAGCAGCTCCAGTACCTCCAGCTCCAGTGGCTCCAGCTCCAACTCCTGCAGCACCTCCAGCAGCTCCAGCTCCGGTAGCACCCCCAGCTCCACCAATCCCTCCACCACCGCCGCCCCCTCCGCCGCCTCCACCGCCCCCACCACCGCCTCCACCTCTACCAACCCCACCGCTCCTGCCTCCCCTGCCCCTGCCGCTGCGGCGCCTCCCACTAGGGGCAGACGCAGCTCCTACCTCCTGAGCACGAAGTTAGTCAACAGCTGCAGCAGAGGCGACTGAGGGGAGAAGGGGGGAGGGCAAACACCCCTCAAAGAAGGGAGTGCAAGGAGTGCCACGAGAAGCGCCTACAGCGACTATGCTAGTCTCAGCTACAAGGAGGTGCTTCTCGAGCAGGTCGACAGTGAGGGTGGTGGGGTCAAGGGAGAGAAGGAGGTCCCTGACAGCGCTAAGAGAGTTAGGGATACGGGTGACTATGAAGTAGAGAGTAATGTACATGGGAGAAGGGTTCTTGGTGAGGAACTCGGCGGGAAGTGCAGCTCGGTAGCGGACGTCACTAGTGCGAAGGTGAGTGACTAGGTCGGCGACTGTGGCAAAGGCAGACAGCTCGGGGAATAGGCAGGGCAGTAGAAGGCGGCCTAGAGCAGTAGTGGCCGGGGAGGAGTAACGAGCGACTACAGCGTCGTACAAGGCCCTAGCCGTCTTGTGCTTGCCAAAGTGAGCGCGTTCGGCTAACGATAAGTGGTTGCGAACGGCTAGGCGAGCAACAGCGTCACGGGTAAGCCACTGTGAGCGAGTCGCACTGTCAGCTGTGTCGGAAGGGGCAACAGAGGCGCTAGATGTGAGGTCAAACAGCGAAATACCGTCCTTAGAGTCGCTCAGTAAGAACAGCTGCAGGTCGTCTAGCCACACGTCGAACTCTATCGGAAGGCCCTCTGCATCGAACGAGAGTACACTTAGGGTGGCCATAGCGGGCAGAGCAGTTGGGCGCGCTAGCAGTAGGGCAGCACGGCAGCACGAAGGCAGAGCAGGGCGGGGCGGGGCGGCTGCAAATGGTGCGCGTGGGCAGGGCAGGCGGTGCAGCGGCCAGCGGCGTGCAAGCAAGGCAGGGCGGCTTAGCGGCGGGCAGCGCGCGGGCAAGGCAGGGCGCGCGGCGGCGGGCAGCGCACAGGCAGTGCGGCGCGGCGGCGAGCGGCGCGCGGGCAAGGCGGGGCGCGCGGCGGGGAGCTGCTCGCGGGCAGGGCAGGGTGCGGAGCGGCGAGTGGCGCGCGGGCAGGGCGGGGCGCGCGACGGCGAGCTACGTGCAGGCAGGGCAGGGCGTGCGACGGCGAGCTGCGCGCGGGCAGGGTAGGGCGCGCGGCGGCAAGCTGCGCGCGGGCAGGGCAGGGCTCGCGGCGGCAAGGAGCGCGCGGGCTGAGCGACGTGGCGCGACAGCGAGCAGCACGCAGGCAGGGCGCGCAGCGCGGCGGCGAGCGGCGCGCGGGCAGGGCAGAGCGCGCAGCGACGCGCAGCGCGCGGGCAGAGCAGAGCGCGCGGCAGCAGGCAGCGCGCGGGCAGGGCAGGGTGCGCAGCAGCAAGCAGCGCGCGGGCAGGGCGGCGCGGCTCGGCAGGGAGTGGCGCGCGGGCAAGGCAGGGCAGGGCGTGCACAGCAGCGCAACGTAGGGCAGGGCAGGGCGGCGCGACGCTAACAGTGTGGCACGACCCGTGGGGTAGCGCGGTTCGGTGGGCCAAAAAAAAATGGTCCTACCATTTCAACAGAAAGAACGAGAATGTGTGAACTAGAAGCATGCAGGAGTACAAGTAGTAAACCCTAATTTGGGTTCTACCCCATATGAGCTACCCCACTACAGCCTACACAACATGCAGCATATAAGTTTGACAGTGAGCCAACTCGAAACTTCGGCACTTGAAGTCGCGACGCTCACGGCGGAACTCGACGCCGCCCGCCAGCAATCAGCAACGAGTGTACCTGCACAAACACAGACACCTGCAAACGCCTCGCGAGGGGCTTCGCCACGTCGGATTTACGGCATCTGTGGGCAACGAAGAAATCCACGAGCCGATGCCGCTCAAACCGCAGCGCCCGCCCTGTTTCGATCCGAGCCAGCGCGAAGGTCCGACACTTCAATCGTGGGTCTTCACGATGAATGTGAATTTCGGCGCGAACTACGTCATCTCAGACGCAGCGAAGATCAGATACGCGGTTTCGCTGTTAGGAGGCCCCGCCATGGACTGGTAGCGAGTTATCGTAACTTCGCCACGCGCCTACGAGCCACCGTCGCAAGAGGAAGAGCCCACGGGGCCGGCCCTTACCTGGAGTTCATTCTGCAAAACAGCCCAGTACAGCATGTGGGACGCGTGGTGCGCAGGGCTTCGGGCGCGCTTCGAGCCGATCGCGGCTTCTATTTCAGCGCGTCAGAAGCTGCGCACTTGTCGGCAGCTCGGGTCGGTTACAGACTACACCAGCGGCTTTCTCGCTCTGTGCGAACAGGTCGGCTACATGCACGAGGCGGAGCGGGTGGGCCGTTATGTCGGCGGGCTAAAGCCGGACATTTCGCACGAGATAATGCTTCGCGGGCTATCAAATTTCAACGAGATTCTCGCGCTAGCGGAGAAAATCGACATCTTTCGCCGACCGAGACCGGGGTCCTACTACGGACATCGTCCTCGGGGACCGACCGAGCACGCCACCGTACACGACGTTGCGGCGATTGCAGCAGCTGCGCTATTCAAGGGGCGCTGCTTTGCTTGTAATAGGCCGGGACATCGCAAGAGCGAATGCCCAGAGGAGCTAAGGCGCCGCGGAGCAGAGCAGGGGAGGGAGTCTCAGAGGCAGGGAAATGCCAGCAGTCAGTAGAAATCGGGCCAACTACTGACGAGACAACCTGCTCGCCCAACCTCACCAACCCTCACCGAGTCACAGTACCAATTCACGCAATCGATCAGGCTCGGATGAATAAGGAGGGTACATCGACGAATTGCCCAGTACCGATTCACAGGAAAATACAGGGAGCAGCAGTGAAGATTTTCATAGACGGAGGAGCAAGCCACAGCTTAGTTAATACCGCGACCGCACGGAAGCTGCAACTGACACTTAGTTGGTGTTTCCCAGAGATCGACGCACGCTTAGTTGACAGCACGCCGCTGGCCATACGGGAGAAAGTGGAGAGAGTATAAGTCTGCTGAGGGGGAAACTTCGGGTTTACACAGGAAATGTTCGCGACGACACTGGATGGGCACGACATTTTACTGAGACGTGATTGGCTGCGACGCCACAAACTGCGAATTGACTGGACGACGGGTAGCTGCAGTATGCAAAGTAGTGGTAACTGGGTCGAGCTACCTCGCTGGTGGTCGCCTGAGTCTTTGACGGTCCACGTCAATGACATCACGATGAAACGGGCTGTTGCCGCTGGAGGTGATGTGTACGCGGTGGATATAGCGTTGGTAGGGCAGCCGAGTGATTTTCAGAAACTGCTGGCAGCAGTATCGCCTGAACCACAGGAACTGTTCAAACGGTACCCGGGGATTTTTCCGGATGACTTACCGGAGGGGCTGCCACCTCAGCGAGCACACGATCACCGCATAGAACTACAACCGGGGGCACAGCCAACTGTACAGCGACAGTTCCGACTGACACAGCCTGAGCTCGACGAACCAAGGAAGCAGTTAGATTACCTGTTAGAGAAAAAAATCATCCGACCGAGCTCATCACCATTCGCCGAACCGATACGGTTCACACCGAAAAACGACGGAGAGTTTTGCATGTGCATCGATTACAGAGCACTGAACAGGGTGACAGTCAAGTCGCGATATCCCATTCCCCGCGCCGACGAACTGATAGATCAATTGCGAATAGCACGGGTCTTTTCGATAATAGATTTACGGGGAGGTTACCACCAGATTCGAGTCAAACCATCAGACTGCGCCGAGACAGCATTTAGAACTAGGTATGGGTCCTTCGAGTACACGGTGATGCCATTCGGGCTGACCAACGCACCGGCGACATTTCAGATGGCCATGAACGAGGCATTTCGGCCGCTTTTAGATAAATGCGTGATAGTTTACCTCGACGACATCCTCGTTTACAGTCGCGATAAGCAGCAGCACTTAGCAGATCTGGAAGAAGTTTTTTAAGTTTTTGATGAGCACCGACTACTGACCAAGGGTTCCAAGTGCGAGTTTTTTCAGGATAGGTTAGAGTTTTTGGGGCACGTTATTTCGTGGCTGGAGTTGAGATTGACCCAAAGAAGCTGGACACGGTCAAAGCGTGGCACCCTCCGACAAATATTACGGAGCTGCAGAGTTTTTAAGGGTTCGTTAATTATGTGCGTCGGTTCATCCCCGACATGGCGCGGTTAACAGCCCCACTGACGGATCTGTTGCGGAAGGGGGTCACTTTTACGTGGGGGGAGAAAGAGCATGCTGCCTTCTCTGCCCTGAAAACTGTTCTCTGTTCACCGCCCGTTCTGCGCATCGCCGACCCACACCGCCCATTCGAAGTAGTTACAGACGCAAGCGACATCGCCATCAGAGCCGTACTGCTACAAGATTTCGGCAACGGCCTACAGCCCATCGCATACGAGTCACAAAAGCTGCACCCACCCGAGAAGAATTTCCCGATACACGACCGCGAAATGCTCGCGATCGTGCACGCGTTCAAAGTGTGGCGCTGTTACTTGACCGGCGCAGACGTGACGGTACTGACAGACCATAAATCACTATAGTACCTCTGCGCACAGCCCCACCTCAACCCAGGACAGATTCGCTGGCTCGATTTCCTCGAGTCAAACTTCCACTACACGGTCACCTACAAAAAAGGGGCATCAAACATCGCTGACGCACTGACCCGCCCCACTGCCCAAATTCACGCCATACTACTCGCCCAAACCAGCCCGCTACTGACAGGACTATTCACCCACGGCTATCAAACAGACCCGTTCTTCACAGGTGGAAATTTGCAGAAGTTCGCAGCAGCAAAGGGGGTTTATTACATAAAATCCGGCACCGACCGCATCTGGGTACCAGGCTACACCTTGCTGAGGGAGTTGTTATTACAGGAGGCCCACGACGGGGTTACCTCAGGACATTTCGGAGTAGAGAAAACACGGCAGCAGCTGCAACGGTATTACTACTGGCCCGAGATGCTGACCGACGTGCAAGGACACGTGGCATCGTGTTCCACCTGCCAACTCATGAAATCATCACGGAAGCGGCCGGCAGGACAGTTGCAGCCGATACCAT